ATAGAGAATTGGATACAAAAAGAGGAGGTGGGGGTTACAATATCGCTTAACGAAGCAATCACAACTATGATGAGTCACAGGATTGTTACTGTGCAGAAGAAGGCCATTCAGCCCATGGTGTCTGCACTGGTTCGGAGCATTCTAACTCTGCCAATCTCCTGCCTTTTTTCCTGTAACTCTGCACATTGTTTCTATTCAAATAACTATCCCAATGCCCACTTGAACGTTTGAATTGAACCTTCCTGCACCACACTTCCAGGCAGTGCGTTCCAAACACTAATTACTCACTGGGTTAAAAAGTCTTTTCCCGCCTGAGGAATGGTATGTTCAAAGGATCATCAAATGAAGCCTTTGGGTTGGATGGAGGAAGGAAAAGGACCACCCACACTGCTGTATTATCTAGCCCCAAGTACTCATGTAGAGAGACCAAAGAGCAAATATATAAATCCAGAAATTTGAAAATAAAGGGCAATGATAGAAGCCATTTCAACTAAAATCAGTGTAAAAAGTGTATAAGGGGCAGACATCTTAGAATACATTCAGAAGGACTTTTCTTAAAGCTAGTATGTGACAAACCCAACAACAGAGAGGGTAGTTTTGTGCTTAGATTTAGGGAATAACTCTGGGAAAGTCCAAGAGGTGTTAGTTGGAGAATATTTAACTGGTATTGATCATAGTGCAGTGAAATTGTTGTGGGAGTTCAGTTTCACCGCACTGAGATGTGAGGCAGGAATTTGGGCCTTGCTAGGGTTGGGTTTGTGGGCACACAGGATGGACACAAACACTGGGACTGGCCCACATGCCAATATTCCAATGCCATTCCTGGAGCCAACCATTTTGGCTGAGGAAAGGTTCAGTGCCAGCACGTCTAGCTGCCTCCTTGCAGAAGTAGCCAATTAAGCCTTGTTAGCTTCAGTCAGAGGATGCTGACTGAGATTTTCCAAGCTCTCGCTGCAGAAGCCCAACAGCAGAGCCTTGGGGCTGGAGTTCCTTGTAGGCCAAGAGGCCCTCTCTCCTGCCTGATGCTGGCAGCGGCCAAAAGCCAGCCTGCAAGGAGTACCCACCCACCCCATCAGCGGTAACCTCGTTGCTGTATCTGGTTTCCTGCTGGTCTACTATTCAAATGTTTGGTGAGGCAGCTCCTCCCATGTTGCCTCATTTTTCAGTTCTTTATCACACACTGTGGACTACTGCTTCTCTCAAACTGGGAAGCCCCAAGTTGACAATGTCAAGAACCCTCCCTTTGTCTTGAGTTGGATAGGCAGCATGTCTCTGTGACACAAAGGGGTGCTTCTGTGAACATCCCAGGGAGAGCCCCAGAATGTCTAGATCCTAAAACAGTCCCACCTCCTACATCCCAGTTCGGGAGGAAAAATCCAACAAGAGATTCAGTAAAAGTGGACTGGCAACAGTCACTTAAAGGTAAATCAGTCAGAATTGTGGTAGAGGTTAGGTTCAGATAAAAAATATTCCCACAAAGAAAAATGTTGCAGCTTCAGGTATGAAACGGTGGCTCAGTGGTTAGCACTGCTGCCTCACAGCCACAGGGATCTGGGTTCGATTGTCTCATTCTTCCTGTGTCTGTGTGGGTTTCCTCCGGGTGCTCCAGTTTCCTCCCACAGTCACAAAGATGTGCAAGTTAAGTGGATTGGCCATGCTAAATTGCCCATAGTGTCCAGGGATGTGCAGGTAGATTTGCAATGGGGAATGCAGGGTTACGGGGGATAGTGTGGCGGGTGGTTCTGGGTGGGATGCTTTTCAGAGGGTCAGTGTGGACTCAAGGGGCCAAATGGCACGTTTCCACACTGTAGGGATTCTATGTAGATCAGAACAAGCTAATATCTATGATTCTATATCTAGCCCGCCCCACCTACCCAGAGGATAAGGGCAGGAGAGAATAGGATAAAAAAGAAAGCTTTATACAAGAGTTCATTACTAGGCAAAGCCTCGAGGAGTCTAAAAAGTGCAGGGTTGAAATTAAAACGAAAATTAGGAAAGCAAAGAGAGGACATGAAAAGCTGTTGAAAAATAAAATCAAGGAAAGGCCAAAAGTTGTTTATGAATACATAAAGAACAAAAGGATAATTAAGGCAAGGGGAGGACCAATTAAAGACAAAAAAGATAACCTATGCGTGGAGGTGAAAAATGTGGGTTTTGTTCTTAATATATATTTTGCACCTGTTCTCACAAAATGGTCACGATGCAGACATTGTAGCCAAGGAGTAGGAATGTGAGATATTGAATGGGATAAACATAATGACAGAGAAAGGCAGCTGTAAAAAATTCAACGAGCAGTTTAATACTTAAATTTCTGTGGTGCTTGGAAGAGCAGAACTAATACAAACACTAAAATAAAACAAAGGACTGTGGATGCTGGAGATCTGAAACAAAAACAGAAATCGCTGGAGAAACTCAGTAGGTCTGGCAGCACTTGTGGAGAGAAAACAGAGTCAACATTTCGAGTGTGGTGACTCTTCATCAGTCTCGCCCTGCCCATTCCATGCTGAAAGGCAGTTTGAATCCTTTGCCAACTATTGACCAAGTTATGACTGGAGAAGAAAACGTAATGCATTCCTACATTTTTATATTGCAGTTGAGTTATATTTTTTAAACTGTAGGAGTGGAATTTGTTCTTTGAAAACTGCTATTCGAACACCCCCCCCCATACCAAAAGCATTTTTCCAAATTTTTTCTGCTCCTCTAATTCTGGCCTTCTGAGTTTAATTACTGTCCATGCCTTTGAAATTCCCTCGCTAAATCTCTCCATCTGTTGCAATGAGACGATCCTTAAAACTTTTTCTTGACCATATTTGTGGCTGATAAGGTACCACATTATAAGGCTACTTAATAAAATGAGCCCATGATGTTGAGGTAGTATATTAGAGTGGAGAGAAGATTGGAGATGATAGAAGACAGAGAGTCGATAAAAGGGGGACATTTTCAGGACGGCAACCTACAACTAGTAGTGTGCCACAGGGATCAGTGCTGGGGCTACAGTTATTTAAAATATATATTAATGACTTGAATGAGGGAAGTGAGTGAAGTACAGCCAATTTTGAGCATGACACATATATGGTTGGGGGGTTGTTGAAGGTAAGCATTGAAGATGACGCATAGAAAATGAAGAGGAATATAGATAGGTTAAGTGAGTAGGCAGAAATTTAGCAGTTGGAATATAAATAATGTGGGGTTATGCACTTTGGCAGGAAGAACAAAAGTACTGAATATTATTTAAATGAAGAAAGACTGCAGAAAGCTACCACACAGAGGGATTTGGGAGCTGTTTGACATCAATTACAAGCAGCTAGCATCCAATTCAGGTAATAGAGAAGGCAAATGGAGCATTTCAAAGGGAATGTCATATAAAAATAGAGGTGTTTTGCTGATGGCCCTAATTAGACCACACCTGGAATACTGTGAACAGTTTTGTGCCCTTCCTCTAAGGAAAAAATACACCAGCATGGAGGCAGACCAGAGAAAGTTCACAAGGTTGATACCAGATATGGAAGGATTTTCTTAGGAGAAAAGATTGAGTAGGTTAGGCCTGTACTCTTTGGAGTTTGGAAGGATGAGAGGAGACCTCATCTAAACATACAAGATTATAAGGGGGTTTGACAGGGTAGCTGCTGGGAGGTTTCTCCCCATTGTGTGAGAGTCTGGCACTAGAGGGCATAATGTTAGAATAAGGGGTCGTCCAGTTAGGATGGAGTTGAGGTGGAATTTCTTCTCTGAGAGTAGTGAACATGTGGAATTCTTTACCAAAGACGGCTGTTGAGCCTAGGTCATTTACTCTATTCAAGCCTGAGAAAGACAGATTTTTAATCAGTAAGGGAATCAAGCGTTATGGGGATAAGACAGGAGAGTGGAGTCGAGGATTATCGGATCATCCATATTCTGATTGAATGACCTACTTCTGCTCTAATGCCATGTGGCCTAACATCAGCTAGACATCCACATATGCTCACTACTGCACTTGTATGTGATTTTTCTCTCCAATGCATATTCTCAGTCTGCCATTGTCTTGTATATTGTGTATAGTAAGTTATATAGATTTATGGAACCAGACTATTCACCCAAGCCAGTCTAAGCGAGCATCACCTCCACTCAAGCAGAGATCCTCATCCGTGTACTATCGATCCTATTTTTTTTCTCCATTCAATCACTTACTCCCTCAGACTGTCCCATGGCTGCAACCTCTGTATTAAAAAAAAGAGTTCCTCCTCCTCTTTGTTTCAAAGGAACAGGAGTAGGCCATTCACCATTTGAGCCTAATAAAAACCAAAAGAACTGTGGATGCTGTAAATCAGGAACAAAAATAGAAGTTGCTGGAAAAGCTCAGCAGGTCTGGTCGCATCGGTGAAGAAAAAATTAGAGTTAATGTTTGGGGTCTGGTGACCCTTCCTCAGAACTCATAGAGGAAGGGTCACCGGACCTGGAACGTTAATTCTGATTTGTTCTCTTCATAGATGCAGCCAGACCTGCTGAGCTTTTCCAGCAACTTCTGTTTGAGCTTCTTGTTCTACTCAGTTTGAGCATAGCTGGTTTGTCAACACCAGTCAATTGCCTTCATTCTATATCCTGTTGCTTTTTGAATGATTCCTGAGCTTTGCTTCTACTGTTCTGACTGAAAGTCCTGCTCTCGTACATTGAGCGTCTGTGTGAAGAATTTCTTGATAGTTTTTCAATTATACCCTTCTGCATCCTGAACTGAGAAGTTTGATCACTGCCTCTAGTGACTGGCATGTTACTGTTTTGTTTGTGTGCGCATTGTGTACGCTTTGTCTAGTGCTGTTCTGCATATGTATCCATTGTCTTGCAAACATTTTGAACCCTAGTGCTATGAAATACCTGGGGCAGAGCCATCTGGTCATGGAATGTCAACCCAATAACTAATTAAGAGGTTTTGTATCCTCATATTGGACAACATAATTGATGCTGAATCTCAAATTGTACTGTTTCCATTCTCTGCTCAACAATTAGTTGAAGAAGGACAAAGGAGAAAGGCTGAGTGAAACATTTATTGATTTGATCCCTAGTTTTACCATGATGCTCAAAAGAGGAATTATATCAGTGGCGTAGTAACAGATTTCTGAATACAGTCATTCAAATTGCAGCAAAACCTACCTGAAATATCAATAGTGGATAGCCTACTCTAAGTGTAGAATGTTCTCTTCAAAGAGGAAACAAAGTCATTTCAGGTAAATGGGTCCTACTGCTCCACATATAATGCATCTCTGCAGGATATCATTCAGGAGCATCAGCACTGGTTCCTCCATAACGCCGGTCGACATTAATGAGAGGTGCCAAGGGAATAAAGAGGAAAATTGGATGTTGAGGGACTGGATCAGAAATTGCTTACAGATGGCTGAGGTGAGCCCCAGGGTCCTTCTCTCAATAGTTCCTGGCTGGTTACTGGATTGCCTGTATCCTCCTATTTTACTGGTCTGCACAGATACCACTTTTATGCCAATTTTTGCTTTATTAAAATTTAACAACAAATTATTTTACATATCCTAACCAGTTTGCCAAGCCAAGCTATTTCACCGACATGGACAATGAAGGCTGCTGAAGTCTAGAAAGTTCCCCTTCTCCATATAGTCATGTGAGCCATTGTCCACTGGTGCTTGCGTGCTGTCTCCCGGATCACAATAGGCTCGTTCTTCTCCGCAAGCAGCTCGAAGTGTGGAGAAAAGACTCGCTTCATCGTATCAAAGCCTCGCACCTCATTGCCAGAGACATCCTTGTACCCACCCAACCACCGTGACTGTGAAAAAACAAAAAAAAGGAGTAAAAAGAGTTGCCAAAGGGCTAGAATTAATCACCCATTCACCCTATGAGCTGTTCCCACTTCTATTATATAACTGTCACATGTTCACACATGGTTGGCATCTTAGAAATTTATAAAATAGAAACAAGAGTAAGTGAGATAACAAAGTGTAGCGTTGGATGAACACAGGAGGCCAAGCAGCATCAGAGGAGCAGGAAAGCTGATGTTTCGGGCCTAGACCCTATTTCAGATTTTTAAAAAAAATTCATTTATGGGGTGTGGTCATCGCTGGCTAGGCAGCATTTATTGCCCATTCCTAGTTGACGGCAGTTTTGAGTCAACCACATTGCTGTGAGTTTGGAGTCACAAGTAAGCCAGACCAGGTAAGGATGGCAGTTTCCTTCCCTAAAGGACATTAGTGAACCAGATGGGTTTTTCGGACAATCAACAATAGATTTATGATCATCATTCGACTCTTAATTCCGGAATTTTATTGAATTCAAATTCCACTATATGCCATGGCATTCGAATATGGGTCCCCAGAATATTACCTATGTCTCTGTATTAACACTCCAGCAGCAATACCACTCGGCTATCAGCTCCCCAACATGCGGCCTATAGAGACTTTAATAAAATGAGGGTTGATCTGATATTGACTACAACTTCAATTTTCTGCCTGTTCCCTGTAATCTTTGATGACCCAATAGTTCAAGAACATTCCTGCCTGACTATATTCACTGTTCCGGTCTCCACAGCTCTCTGGGAAGAGAGAATAATCCCTCTTCTAGTTTACATAATGTTTCTGTATAGGGAACTGATCCTTTAACAGAAACACCCTACTAACTTACAGATGGTACTGATAAGTTGTAACATTACCTTCTGCCTCGCTCTCTCTGGTGAGTTAAGTGCTCTTCAGAACTAGGCTAATAATTCTGCCGATTACCTTCAATATTAGCCGCAGGACAACAGGAGGATGTGGCTCAGGTTACAATGTTGAAACATTGAAAAGATTCCCAGATGCTCCAATGGGATAATTCAGCAGTATCTTTGGGAATCTTTGGTTTATATCGTCATTAGTGACCAGCTGAGGTTTGAGGATCTGTTCTAAAACTCTTTAAATACAGATGCAAAACAGATCTCTCTCAGTTTAACATCCTCATTCTCTCTTACATTGGATGATATAGGATATATGACACTGATATGTAGGATATATGACACTGATATATAGGATATATGACACTGAAACAGGCCATTGCACACTACTAGTCCTGCCAGTGTTTATGTTCCACTCAAATCTCCTCCCATATTCCGATCTTTAAATCTATCATTGTAACCATCTCCTTCTCTCTCATTTAATCAACTAACTTCCGTGCAAATGTACCGGTATCATTCATTTCAACTATTCCCTGTGGAACCAGGTTTCTCATCAATCTTTGAATGAAGAAGTTCCTTCTGAATTCCCAGTTGGATTTCCAATAGAGACATTAGAGATGTGTACACTCAATCTAGCTCCCTCAGTCTCCATGAGAGATGTATATACTTGATCTAGCTCCTTCAGTCTCTGTTAGAGATATATACACTCAATGTAGCTCCCCCAGTCTCTATTAGAGATGTGTGCACTCGATCTAGCTCTCTCAGTCTTTATTAGAGATGTGCACATTCGATCTAGCTCTCTCAGTCTCTGTTAGAGATGAATACAGTCGATCTAGCTCCTTCAGTCATGTACACATTTGATCTAGCTCTCTTAGTCTCTACTAGAGATGTGTACACAGGATCTAGCTCCCTCAGTCTCTGTTAGAGATATGTACACCAGATCTAACTCCCTCAGTCTCTGTTAGAGATATGTACACTCAACCTAGCTCCCTCAGTCCCTATTAGAGATGTGTACAATCAATGTAGCTCCCTCAGTCCCTATTAGAGATGTGTACAATCAATGTAGCTCCCTCAGTCTCTATTAGAGATGTGTACACTTGCTGTAACTCAGGCTCCATCTGACATAAAATGTGGGTCGATGGTATGATGATCAATACATTATCTAAGGACAGGGAATAGGAGGAACCATTCGATATTTCGCTACAATACAAGCTGTTTTTGTGGTTATCAGTTAAATAAGTGTAGTCCTGACATATCCCCTGATCATACAAAGTTACTCTGGTTTGGTGGGAAACTTGCTGTTCAGGAGGTGTTTACATGGAGCTGATCGTTTTACCTTTGGGGTGAATTCCTCAAGCCAGGTGTACGGTGATGTAATGACAAGGATTCCTCCAGGGGCCACGAGCTCTGGGAGTCTGTGGAAGAACGCAAAGGGGTCGGGGAGACGACAGATCAGGTTGGCTGCCAGGACACAGCCGAAGGATCCCAGATCTGACGATAGATTGCATGCATCGCCCTGCCTGAAGAAGCACCGAGTCCGATCCTACAGAATGGAGCAGAAGCACAAAGTGAGACGGCTAGAAGGAGCTGTCTTCATGCTGAAGATCAGCGACATCGATACTGGGAGAGGAGTTTGCTTGTGTTTATCACTATTGAGAACAGCAAGAAATATTCCATCTACACCCTGTCCAGGTCAGGCACAGCAACACATTAAAACCCCCACCACACTGGCACATCATGCAACTAGAGCTCGAGAGGCTAAGTACAGTTGTAACAATGCCTCCCCCTCTGAGCTGGATTCAACTCAAGGCCTTCAGAGGAGACAGTGTGATAATTCACATTGTGCAGTGTTGAAATGGCAGCCCTGATCTCCTACGTTTTGTTACTAATGAGCTCAGACCCTGTTACTTCACAGTCATTATTTTGCAGGCAGATTTTGTTAGTGTCAGTCTATGGACTGAAACACACTTTGATTCTTTGCTGCTGAGGGGAAGGAAACAAATTATTCACCTGAAGTGATAGAATAAAATCAGGAAATGGAGCGGTACATGTTTGGTGTGAAAAACTAAGTTTGATTCAAACTCTTTTGGACGTTTTGCGAGCTTCTTATGTGAATGCTGACTTCATTCAATATAATCATTGGCCTTCTCCCACTTTTTGCTGATTGTATTTCTTTTCCCATGATCTTGAAAAGTGTTGATCCAGACTAGCCATTCGTTTGTAGTATCATGGTCTGGAGGGAGCTGTGTTTGAATCTAGGCTTTATCTGGCACTGGCGAGCTCCTCCACCAGCCAGGTTCCTGACCTTGTTCTATATGGATGGGCATTGGCACCAAATGGTCCAGGTAACTCACCAGGTTGGAAGGACACACACACCCCATTAATCCAATTGATGTTCAAGGAAAGAAATTGGGCTTGGAGGACTCAAGAAGGGAGAAGCAGCAATCCAGAATGGCACATTGGGTTTCGTAGCAAACAGGAAACATAGAGGGGGAGAAATAGGATTGAAATCACAAAAGGGCAGTGGGAAAGCAGACTGGAACAATAGGAATAGAGAAAAAAAGATACAAGAGAGAATGAATCAATGGCGAGGAGTAAAATACCAGATCCAGGAAATTAGGGAAGATTTGACTTAATACTTACAATGTCCGTTGGTACAACAGCCATGTGCTGTGTGCCCAGTTCTCCTTCAGTCAGAGCACAGTAAGGGAGCTGTCCTTTCTCTTTGAGCTGATTGCAAGCACTCACAAATGAAAGGCTGTAGTCGATGCCCACCACCTCTTGAAATACCCGTGCCATCTCAAACGAGGCCCTCCCCACGGCACAACCAATGTCCAGAGCTCTGTTGGGAACTCCACTCTAGCAAGGGTGAATGGACAGGTTAGAGATAAAATGGCAGCATCATATGTAGGATCGGCAATAGGGCATGGGCAACATGTTCACTGCTCAGAAAGAAAGATAGACCTGCCTTTTTCTTCATCCCCCCTCCAGCTCTATCACTGCAAGCCATTAGCAGGAAGTTAGAGAAATGATGTCCTCGCAGTATCCCTGAAAGATGCAACACCTTGACTAAAATCACCCAAACTGGAGAAGAAGGTGCTAGCCACCTTGAGTATCTCTGACAAGCCCAAGTGAAGGCTAAGTGCAAACGGAGGAAGGAGTGTGTGTGAAAACCCAGCATCCCAGCCAGCCACCTCCTCTGTGGCAGGAGGTGTAAATCCAGCAATGGGCTGCTTGGTCACCTCAGGACCCACCCCTGGAAGAAAGTCACCCTCAGTCCCGTGAGACTCCCTGAGAGTTTTTATGTAACACTCTTTCACAACTTCAGAATCACCAACCCGCTCTGTGTGATACCCGCTGTAATATAGGGAACTGTCCACAGGAAATTCCCACAAACAAAAACGTAATAATGACCAGATCTTAGTGATGGCGGTTAAGGGATCAAAATTGGCCAGACCACTCTGGAGGATGGTTCTAGTCATGAAAACTTCCCTGCACTTGTTTGAAATGGGATTTTTAAGTCCACCTGACGAAGACAGATAGAGTTGAATCAGAGATAGTAGGAACTGCAGATGCTGGAGAATCCGAGACAACAAGGTGCAGGGCTGGATGAACACAGCAGGCCAAGCCGTTCTGCTCCTATGATGCTGCTTGGCCTACTGTGTTCATCCAGCCCTGCACTTTGTTGTCTCAAAGACAGATAGAGCATTGGTTTAATGTCCCATCTGAAAGCCAGCACCTTTGATACTCCCCTGGCACTAACGGAGTGTCAGCCTGAATTATGTGCTGAAGTGGGATGTGAAAGAGACCCGCTGAATCCAACCTAAACATGTTCCCACTGAGCTGAAGCTTTTGGAACAAAAATCTCAAACGAATGTTTAGCAGCAGGCAGAACATGGATAATATATAACTTTATCAACAGGAGTGGGAGAGTGGGAGAACCAGGTATGCAGTAAGGATTACAATGCATTTCACAGAGATCGAGTAATTTCTAATTGGTTGTTAAACCCCGGAGATCAGATGACTGACTTCAATGATTCCACACTTTCACTTACTACCCTATCTGTTTTAGGTCCATTTCCTAATGATGGAAGGTTTCTTGTAGATGCTGACTGTAAATACAACCTGGTTTGGGAGGAATAGCTGTGATCCAATGCTGCAAGCTTATTGCCAGTGTTATTGACTGTGAAAGACACAGTAGGTCACCCAGAGAAACGAAGGGTAACAATGGTGGCACAATAGATCAAATGTTTAGCAGTGATAAAGATTAAGTCCAGTTATGTTTGTCATTTGGCTAATATGAAAAAAATTTCCTTTAGGGTGTAACATATTATGCAGCTGCCACCATCGAACTGTACCACCCACTGCAATGTGCATCCATTGTACGATGCCACCCATTGTATTGTGCCATGTATAAAAAGATGCTGTTGCATACATGCCATCATCACATACAAAGAGAAGCACAGACGTTTATCACACACAAGGTGACCTAGAAACCCATTGTGCCTTTGCCAAGGCTTTGATTGAGCAATCAGCAGAGGTGATGATGGTGCAATGTCACTGGACTAGTAATCCAGAGACCTGGACAATGATCTGGGTTGTGGGTTCAAAGCCCAACACAGCGGCTGGTGCAATTTAAATTCAATAAATATATCTGGAAAATAAAGGTAGGCTCAGTATTGGTGATGAAGGAGCAGTCATTGACTATTGGAAAAACCATCTTGTTCATTATACTTTAATGAAGGAAATCTGCCATCCTTATCTGGTTTGGCTGACATGTGACTCCAGACCCACAGCAAATGTGTTTGATTCTTAGCTTCCCTCTAAAATGGCCTTGTGATCCATTTAAGGTCAAGGGACAGTTTGAGATGGGCAACAAATGTTGGCCTGGCCAGTGATACCCACATCCAATGAAAGAATTAAAAATATGTCAAACTAATCGCAATGCCTTGTTCTCTCCTCATTGCCCTATGTTTGAAACATTTGCTTATTCTGACTCAAATGGTAGTCTCTGTTTCAACTTGTTCATCCCATTCTCCAAAAACTCTGCATAAAAAGTTCTCCTGATATCGCTCTTCACTCTCAATGACTATCTTAAATTGGCAGTTCTTCTTCACTGACTCTTAAAGCGGAGAACATAGTCTTTTAAAATTAATTCTGTTAAAAGAGCTGTAATTTATTTTTAGAAAAAGTCAGGTATACTCTTAATATTTTCAGTTCTACTGTAAATAAACTATGGATTAGATTTTTCTCTTCCAATGTAGGTGTACATTGAGGGGTGAAACAGTGAACTTCATTTTGCTTTGGCAAGAAAATCAATTTTTCTCTGGCTTCCTGAGGCCGTTTTTGTTTAACCTTATCATGAGTCAGGAAGGCCTTAGGTGCAAAACACACCTTCTTCTGGTGCATATGCACCTTTTCTGAGTTGAGGTTCCCCATTGCGAGCACTGCACAAAATTTGTATTTTCTCCTGCGTGCTATTTTTTGTGTGCTGCTGTGGGTTTTGTAAGTTCTAAAACAAACCACCTCCTTCAAGAGCTTGGTGATCGCCTGCTGGGGAATTGGGAGCATTCTAAAAGCTACATACGAAATGTATTAACACCTTCAATGCCACTATTGGATGCTGTGCTATAAGGCAGATGTTTTTACTTAGTGCAGTTTATCACATAGAGTCACAGAGTCATAGTGTTATACAGCACAGAAACAGACCCTTTGGTCCAACATGTCCATGCCAACAATGATGTCCTAAATTAATCTAGTCCCATTTTTCAGCATTTGGCCCATATCCCTTGAAACCCTTCCCATTCATATATCCATCCAGATGCCTTTTGAATATTGTAATTGTACCAGCCTCCACCACTTCCTCTGGAAGCTCATTTCATACATGCACCACCCTCTGCATGAAAAAGTTGCTCCTTAGGTCCCTTTTAAATCATTCCCCTATCACCTCAAATTTAGGCCCTCCAGTTTTCGAATCCTCTACCTGGGAAAAACACCTTGGCTATTCACCCTATCCATGCCCCTCATGATTTTGACATTGTCCTGCATAGGTAACTTGATCACCACTTTGCAAGTGTTGACATGCATGAGAGCACATTTTCTGCTGGGGAAAATCCTGCCACGCTTTTAAAAATGTAGAAAACTCTCCTTACCACCTTTGGTACCCAGAATTAAGTAGACAGAGAGTTTTGAGTGGGGAAAGAACACTCCCTGCTTTCGAAAGATGATAAAAATCTAAGCACCTGCTCTTGTTCATTGATGGCCAGGCAATCTACGTTGAAAAGGGTGAGGCACCATCTGTTCTTTCAGTTTCAGGCTACAGAGTTGGAATTGAATGTTTTGCTAGTTGTGATTATTATAAAGCTTTGGCTGCGTTCTAAAGACTTTTGGAGTGCACAGCTCTGTTGATGTAACTGCTCAGGGGAATGATGGATAAGTTTCTGAGATTACAACATATTCTGCCTTTGAAATGTTTTTAATTATTTTTGTTTCCACAAATTAAAGGCCTTTGCAATAACAAAGGCAGACTTTTGACTGAGTTTCATTATATTGTCCCAATTTTTTTCTTACATCTGCAGTTGGAATAATTCCCATTGCTATTGTGCATCTCCTGAGGACTATAGAAAGTGGATAATGAATGCGTGATTATGGAGGATAAAGAGGGGACATGGGGATCTATGGGAACATGGAGGACTGAAGGCATGGTATCGAGTTGGGTTGAGGAGTGGGATTTGAGGGGTGAATGCCAATGTTTAGAAGATTTTATGATGATATTGGAAGCTAGGCTGCCGTCTGAAAGAACAGGAATATTCTAACTCCCCCCACATTCACTCTTCCTACACTTTATCGTGGCTCCGCACTGTCATCTGAAACTTGTGTATAGAAACACAAGTCCTGAGTAAAGTCATACATGAATTGGGCATTCTTTTGCAAAGCCACAAAGAAATTTGTGTTTTGCTGTCCCGACAGGACAGCTTGTGTTTTCAAAATAAACCTGTCATGTGATTTCTGACCTACAAGAAAATCTGGGCCCAAATCTCTGACAATTCTCCTTCACCTTCCTCGGTTCCATCTTAATGAAACTATTCTCCATGGACCAAATATCCTCTCTGTAATGGGGTGTCATCACTGCGCAAAATGAGGCACAACAGTGCTTTATAAACTTACCATTTCTCCTATACTCCAAGGTGCTCCCAAAATATTCAAAATGTTGCTGGGCTTTACTATTTACTGCTTCCACTTTCAGGATGACATGTAGTTAAATCCCTTGGTTGGTCTCCAACTGTTCACTACCTTCAGCAAATTTCCTGAGAAAGTAAATTTCAAATTCCTGTCTTGTTGCTCAAATGTTTTAAAGCACAATTTCCAGCACAATTCAATGTGAATTAAGCTGAGTGCTGAGGATTGTAATACTTCTGTCATTTTCATCAACAATTTGATCATCAAATAGTTCTACATTAGATGTGAAACCGGTTGGAACTTGACAAGAGCTTCCATGACCTTGTGCATCTTAACACAATGTGGAGAATTATTACATTTTTGTATCGTATTACATTTCAAGTTCTCACACTATCTGGGTGGTTAATCCGGGAAATGTAATGCAAATCTTACTCTGCCAGTTTCTGGATTTGGCATTTGAATCACTCAGTCTGACCCACTGTGTATACCAGTCCCAGAGTGTGAAAGGACAGTGTCTGACCCTTTGTCTCAGCCAGTCCCAGAGTGTGAAAGGACAGCGTCTGACCCACTGTCCCAGCCAGTCCCA